GTACCCCCAGACACAAGGAACCTTTCTGTTTGAATACAGTACTCTAGAGCCCACCATCTTTCTTTCCTTGCCCCTACTCTGTCACTACTTCCAAGTCTTTTGGAAGTGCAGCACTACAGTTTCCATAACATCTGAAGATACTGAAGATACACTTCCTTCTAAGAAAGTCTGTACTGTTACCTACTTTTCCTAATTTTCCTTTCTCAGCAGAAACCACATTTTTTTCTGTTTGTATATATCACTAAATATTGCCCCATTGCCTTCTACGGAAAAAAAAAAAAAAAGTGGCAAAAGAATAAAAGTGGCCAAAAAATGAGGTGGTAAATAAATAAATAAATAAATAAATTCTCCATTAGCCAAGGAAGAACAGCACTTTCCCGTTCTAATCTTAGTTCTCTCACTCTTTTCTACCAGTTTATTTTTTTTTTCTACTTTTTTCCATTCCATTCCACTCCATTCCATTCCATTCCAATATTCTTGCTTTCTTTCACGACAACTCTTAAACGGCTTCTAGTACCCACTTCATGCACTTCAAAATGCAAAAATCCTCTTTTTTTTAAGCAAGTATTAAAGAAAAAAAAATAAGTGAGACAGCCACTGCATGACACATGCTGTAAAGACTGTACTACACTCTGTGTATGTTTTATGTTTGCTGTATTATACTCTGTTGCCTTAGCCAAAGCACAGGGGTCGTAGCTTCTCCAAGGTAGGTTCTTAGTTACATACTTAACTCAAATCAGTCATCGTATAGCGCCAAGTAAATTTATGTTACCCTACAAATAACAATAAAAACACTGTTTTGCAGAATGTAATCACCCAAATGGAATCTGTTCGGGACACCACGGTTCACACCCCAGTAGTGACACAGCTGTAGGGGCAGCATGTAGCAGTGTCTACAAATCCAGTGTGAATAAATTTATGTTTTATGAAATAAAGGAATTTATGTGATGGTTTCCCCTGCCACAGCATTAACTTCACTAGATGGGTTGGTTTGTATGTCATTGTTCTTCTCCAAATCACTGTGATTGTAAGAGCCTGTGGGAAATAAACTACATAAAAGCAAACATGGGAAAAGAATCCCACAAACCCCACAGATGTCACCCCTGGATGCAATCATAGCCAAGGAGAAGACCATCCAGCAGGAAGAATTTGCAAATGTACTCTGCAATACCCAGATTTTATTCTTGAAAACAATCATGTGATAAAAATGTTGGTTTTAGGACTTCCCAGGAATATACTGTAATCTTAGTGCCATGAAATTCAGGACAGGACTGTGATCCAAGCTTCATTTATACTACCCAACTGAGCTGGCCTGAACTGCCTCTTCTGCAAGCTGTGGATCTAGACAGCATAGCTTGGGCTAGACTCTCCAACTTTCCATTCTCTCTGTTGGTGTTCAGTATGACAACGATACAATTTCACAGAAGAAACAAGGGACCAGCGCATTGGAAGCTGGAGCAAGGTGAACCCTTTATCTGATATAATAAATTCACAGAGTGAAAATGAAATATGTCATCTGTCAAGCAGACATAAACACTGATTGCCAGAAACAGCACATAGTTCTGGCAATAAAGTTTAGTTCCTATAGTTTAGTCCTATAGTTCCAATGCAAAATACTTATTTCCTCTACAGTAAGATAAAGCGCTAGGCCTTTTACAGGTCTTACAATATCAAATGCCTTTAATGCCATCGGTCTGAAACTGGCCCTAATTAGTAATAGCTGTCAGTTCTGTCCATGTCTTATGTACAGCTTCAGACAGCTCCAGAGAAAGGATATTGACACCCCAGAGCCAAGTTTTTGGTCACCTCAAGAAAGAAGTCAAGGATAGAGTGATCTGGAGAACAAACTGTCTCACTCATCCCTCTATGTCAAAAGACCAGGAATTCTGGTAGTGTAGATTAGTACAATAACTTGGTCTAGGGACTTGACATCTCTGCAACATGTGTATTGGGAAGAGTGGGATTTAGTCACAAGGATTATCGGTTCAGAGTTTCCCAGTAGCATTATGTACCACTATCTTCAGAAGAATGAATGAACAAAATCCCATTACTAAGAGCATCCCTGTCTTGTTTGAGTCATTGTAAATTTTCCATTCTGTCATTGCCCAACTATTTCCAGACATGATGTAACTATTTTGCCAGGGGATTTGGGAGTCAAAATGTTGCTGTTGTTGTCATCGTTATCCTGGGTGCCTGAATTTTCCAGACAAAATAAGCAGCTGAGGGCATTAGAGTGCCTCTGTTGAGAGAGAAATAATCTGTAAGAGCTGCCAGTGTGCTCCAAGAAAAACAAACAAATGGTAAAGGTCCAATTACATCTTCCCAAACTGCAGGTCATTTCCATGTAAAATGTTGTTTTCTTTTTTCAGACAATTAGCAGAAGAATGTTTCATCCCTGGTCCGATGTCATCACAGAGTACAAAAAATTGATTTCCATTCTAACATTGGGTTCAGGGCCAGTACAGAACATCAAAGCTTGACTTGACTGGAAATATGCCTTGATTATAACCACTGACAACCAGCCACAGATGTAGGTGTACAGGCATAATCTTCCCTATTGATGGGCAAATCAATTATTTGCGCCAGTGATTTTTTCTTCAAGTTTTGTCATTGGAAAGAGCAACTTGGTCTTTATAGTAAATGGGTATAACTGGGGAGAAATCCAATAGAGACGACGTGAACTTTTCCTTTTTTTTTTTTTTTTTTTTTGGGGGGCGGGGGGGGGGGGAGGGGCGGTACAGATCTCTTTAAAACTTCTGTTTAACAATGCCATGTGGGAAAGCCACCTTCCAGATCTGCTGCTTTCCTATTTAGCGCACCTGCAAAAGTAGAGTGTATTTCTGTTTGTCACTGCAAACATGGAAATAATGGTGGTGGTTGTCAGTTCAGTTCCATATACTGAAAAGCAACTGATTGAGATGATAGCTAAAAGGTTTCTTTAGTGATCCAGTAAATGGAAAAGACAGTCAGTAGATGCAGCACAAAGGGAACAGGTCTTAAGATTTTAATGCTCTCTCCATCTTAGGGATGGTTTCTCTAGGTCAAGGCAGAGACAGGGTCAAAGTGTCGCTGATTTTATATACCTGTTTTTTAAGCTACTCAGATTCCATGGTTGTCAATTTGGCACCAACAACAAATTCACTCCAGAAAATGAAATTAAGAAAAGGTCACATACAGTATTTTATTCCAGCATTTTTATTTTTGTTCAACATTCTGACAAGGGATAATGTGGGTTCATTGCCCTGAAACCTCAACATTACGCAAGTAGGTTTGGACTTCAAGCCAGCAGCTTGGTGAAATTGTTGAACTTTTAACCTAACGTGTCTTCGTGAAGAATGGATATTTGGAAAGAGCTCTGCTCAAGGATTTGGGTTGTTTTCTGTGTGTATTTTTAAGTGGTATCCAGATAAAATATATTTTCTGGCTGCCGTAATATTTATAGGAGGAGACTGTACACCAACACTGAAAGCTGGTTTCAGAGCTGTGACCTGCTGCTTTAGGTTTCAGGGCTGGTGTTTTATGACATTAGGGTGAACAAGTCCTCATCTACATCTAAATCAAATTCCATAGAGATAATGCTTTGAATTATACAGGTAGTGATTATGAGGGTCTGAAAAAGAAACTGCTACCAAAAACCAGCCACCTTCCTTGAATAATCAGTGAGCTCTTTTTGCCAGCAGCAGCATGTTGCAAAGAGTGTGGTAAAAGGAAGGATGGAGGAGAATGGGGGGAACCCCCCTAAAATATCCAATGTGAGGATCTTCCCTATAGTGGTACATATCCATAGACAACATGGTATAGAGCATATGGTACACAAGAACGTAGTACCCATGCACACCATGCCAGTCACCACCATCTCTATTTTACTGCTTTATCCAGCTTGTGAATTGTTAGTTCTGGTCTCCCAGATTCTCATGGCAAGAAGTCACGTCCACCTCAAGGCCCTTTGCTGTCCACAATTGCGAAAAGTTTAAGTAGTGAAGTATAACTACGGAAGATTTCCTAGAACTGTAACTGACCAACACCCTGTTCTTCCCCAAAGAGAACTCATTTGCCTAATGACTGCAGAGAAGCTGCATACAGCGGATGTTTGGGTATTGTCTCTGGACCTCTAAGTACCTGCGGCGAGCCCATAGCCTGCCCAAAGACACAGCAAGTTCTTTCAACCTCTGAACCAAAGCTCTTGCATCTTATTGACAAAGATTTGAGTACAGTCCACAGAAAGCCAGACTGCACTATAAAATTCCTTTAACTCCCTAGCACAGCTGCACACTAGAGGAAAAAAAAAAAGAAAAAAAAAAAGAAAGGAAGAAGAAAAACACCCTGCTTCTAAACAGCCACTTGATCTGGGTACACAGTCCTTTGACATGATTTGAAAAGAAGATTCATTGTATACAAACGGGACAGAACTCTACCCTCTGTTAGGGAAGGAACATCATCTTAATCCCCTTAGGGCTGCAAACATTATTATTATGTGCGGTTATGCATGACTTTGCAGAACATGTACCAATATCACTGCTTGTTATCTCTAGTTCTGTACAGCACTGAATTATTTGATAGATTGCACAGGATTTGATCCAAATCATTACCTGATACATTTTGTTTTGTCTTATATTTTGGAGGCATATTTAAAAGTCACTTAAAAAAGTATTTATTACATATATTACATCTTAAATGTGTGGATAGTATACATACAACTAAAGACAGCAAACAGTAAAACATTGCCTCTTAAAACTTATTCAGGTGTTGGCTCTGCTGCCCTGACTGTGCAGGGACATTTATAAACTAAATACATATTATGCAAGATTATTTCTCACTGCAAGAAAAAAATGAAATTACTGTTTCTCCTATTTCTACTTGCTTTCGAGAAGACACAGGCAACCAGCACCAAAACCTTTCCAGTAACAAGAAGTCATATCAGCATTTGACTCTCCCCCTGCACAGAAAGCCCTCTGAACAAAGAAGCACTCCTGACTTTTCACATGGCACTTTGTACCTACCTTCCAGCATAATCAGTGAAACTGCAAGATGTCAGAAGCTCTGAAAAAAAAAAAATTGAGACCAACTACATATGCAGACTGGATAGCAAATTCAAGCAGAAATAACTTATATACAACTGAAAAATCTGCATGCAGGCTGACACGCTATCACTAAATTTTAAGTCTTGTCTAATGGACCAGCAAATACGATATGAAAAGGGCATATCTAACATTACTGAATTCCTTTGTTTGAATTTATATTTTTCCTTAGCTATGCATAATACAAGCAAAGGGTACAAATACACTACAGTGGTGCCTGGCAATGCTTAAAACAGAGGAAATTGTAGAGAGAAGGAGCTCCGTCTCTGAAAAGAAGATAAACCAGATGTGTAATGCAAACATTGAACCCACACCACTGAGACACTCTTCAGGGCGACCTCTTCCCTAGTGCTCATTCTGCGCATACCCTATCATCAGTCAAATGGAGCCTGTAAGAAGCGTGGCTACTGCCCAGGAAATGTTCTTAGTGCTGGGTTTACACTGTTATCAGCTATTAATCACAAAAAGCTCCACTGGGATAACCCCAGAACTAAACAACTCAAACTGAGCAATGCAAGTCTAGAGAGGGGCGTCGGTGTGGATAGTACTTTAAAGGAACGTTCTTTTGTTTCCAAGAAAAAAACGTTCTTTAGACAGGCAAGAGAGTCCACAAGGTCTTAGAATATCCTGTTCATGCTGAGATTTCAAACACACACAAAGATTTTCTACATTTTTAAGAGGTCATGCACGATAAGGAAACAATTCATCTCCAATGGGGCCTACTAATAGCAGCACTAACTCTTCTTAATCCCCAAAGCACATTTCATATCCATATCAATATTGCAGGATACATTTCCAGCTTTTACTGGAATGTTCCTACAGTAAGAGTTTCCCCCCCATGTGAATTGCAATAGTACAACTACATAGGCAACTGATCTCAACCATCAAATGCCAGAATGATAGCCACCAGGTCACCTGCAAGGGACAGATTTTCAGAGCAGTTAGGAAACCTCTGTGCAAAAGAGGTTGGAAAATATAATGATGCTCAAGGGAAAGAACAATAATAAGCTTTAGTACTGGGACTTGATACACCTGGAGAAGCAGTTTTGACACATTTTTTAATAGAAAGGAGCCAACCCTGACAACATCTTGGAAATGAGATGTCTCTACCCTCTAACTGACCACTCTGGACCAAAGAAAGCATTCTGAAAGCAAGAGGAGTATCTCTAACAACCCAAGTTAGAGCTTGAGTTAGTAAAGAAATGAACAGAGAATCTGCTTATCACAGGAAATGGAACAAAGGGCAAGATGAAAGTTTTTTTTTGTTTGTTTGTTTTCTGGCTAGAATGCTCCCGTAATGTGTGAGCACTACAGCTAGTCATGTACTGGTGTGGACACACACACGGTGGTGTAGAGGTAAAATCAGTAATCAACCAGCCAATAGTTCAGTCAAGAAAATGTACTCATGCCTTTGTATTCAATTCGTCAAATATTTATGCTGACACCTGATATTTATGGTGACACCTGAGGAAATCTCTTATCAGGTACGAAGTGTCTTACACGCTGTAAAAGGATTGACTTAAGATCTTTGTTAGGGAATCCCAGGAAATATTTCTGTAGATAAATCTAGGAGGAAAGATAAAAGGAAATAAGAAGCATTTCACACTTCTCTACAGGAAGATACCAGAAGGGATACTCAAGATTTTGTTCACCTTATCCCTTGATAATTTCAGGGTGCATGTATTACTGGAATTAAGTTATAGAGATTCTACAAGAGCCTTTCATTCTTTAGATGAGTAAACAACATACATTTCTTATATAATTTCCATTACGAGTCTATAACAGACTCCTATTAATGCTGATGGAAACACACAACCTCGTAAAACAAGACACCAGCTCTTCCAAACAGAACTTGGACTCAGTTCATTTCTGGCGACGTGTCCTTCAGTGGAATTGTGCCAGGTAGGCACCTGAGATTATTTTTCTTAGAAAATGAAATATTTCATTTTCTGCAAAGGCCTTCTGGAGCTGACTTTAGCAACATCAAAGTAGAGCATCCAAATCATCATTTCCTGACTCCTGGGGAAAATATTCCAAGTCATATGCATACTTTAGTAGGGGCTGGTATGAATGCCTATTTTTTAACTGCATTCACCCATGCAATTTCTATGATTAAAAAGGAAAAGGAAATCTGACTATGCTAGGAGCAGTGTTGACAGAGAAATTTCTTTCTTTTAATAGCTGAGATTTAAAAGAAACAGATTGGAGATAAAACACCTTTTCATTTGGGCTATAAAGCTGTTCTCCTCACTCTACTTCAAGAAGTGAGCAACATAGTGAAGCTGAAATGTAAATCTAAATTTGAGGTAGTACACTGGAGCAAGAAAGCATTCATGTACATGGTTAGTGTTGCACAGACCTCTTGTCCGGCTGGATATACTCCAAAAAGGTTTAGTTTCCAACCTTAATCCTAACTCTGTTAAAGTCCCTGACCACAGAAAAAGCAATATATGCCATAGCGTATTAGGTTTATGCTTCAGCTACCCTTCCACCCTTCCCCTTAAGCCATCCTTGCCCAGGAATACTCTCTCATATTGCCTACAAAACCTCAAGCAAATCGCCTCAAATCATAAAGAGAGGGAAGAGTCATCATTGCAAGTAGAAGCTGCTCTCACACTGCACAGAAAGTCAAAGCTTTCCTTTCTCTCTGAACCCTGAGGGGAGCCTCTGCACCTTTACCAGCCACCATCTGGATATTCAGTGCTGTACCGCAGTTATACATCCTGGACTGCATTGCAATAACCTTCAGCCCTCTCCATCCTGTGTCCCTATCTTCACTGCCAGCAAAGACCAAGACCTAGGGGCACTTTCCTCACTGTTCTCCTTCACCCAGATATTTCCAATGTGTCACAGTGCAGCAGCAGAAAATCAGCACTCACACTGGAGAGGATACTAAAAGGGGAAAGTGACCCCAGATTCAGACTTTTTCCCATTGACTGAAGAACTTGTTGAGTTTTGCCAAAGTGTTATGAATGTGACTTAGCTGATTTTAAATGATTTTCAATTTTGTCTTTGCTTCTTACTTCAATTTACAGATTCTCTTCACCTGCTATATCCTTGAAGCTCATAAAGCAAAATGGCTCTCACCTGCCTACCACTTCTCAGACAACCCCATGGAAACAAACTCGTCTGAGAATCTGCTCAACAACCACATAAGCTATTCAGTATCAGCCTATCAGCCATACATGAATAACTTTGATGCATTCACAACCCAAGGTGCTGTCAGACAGCCGGTAAATAATAAAACAGTGTCCTCCTGTTCTGCTGGTCAGTTAAGCTCCCACAAATAACTTGTGAATAAACACATTAAAAATAGATAACAAATTTGGCTGGTAGAACACATACTTGAAGCTCAACTACTAAAATGAGAGACAAAATTGTAAGCTTCTTTCACTGCTTTGGTCGCATATCCTTTGCTTTCAGCACAAGGTGTTTGCACACAGTAAATATTTGTAGGCTAACAAAAATAAACAAGCACCCCACCAGCAGCACCCAGATCATTTCTAAAAGGAATTACTTTGGTAAGGAGATTTAAAGATAGACAGCCTAAAAGAAAGCTTTAATATGGTCCTGATATGTATCGTTCCCTGTTCTCATTCCCACCATTAGACTGACCCAAAAGCCCATGATGTTTTGATAAACACACCAAAAGTAGCTGAGGACGTAAGTATGAAAACATGCACAGTGAGTTTATTTTATGCCACTTTGTTTAATGGCTCTCCTCCAGCATTTTGGATGCGCAACTTCACTAGGGTCACAGTGCTAAAATTTTCCTTAAACAAGTCCCACCCAAACGTTTAGGCCTCTTCTTCACCCTCTATACCACCTGCTTTCCAACAATCCTGAGAAAAACAACACTTACCCTGGGCAGAAAAGAATAATGTTGCGTATCAGTACAGAGGGATGTACAGTGATGTACAGTCCTCTCCTGACTTGGCCTGTGCTGTGCCATGTGTTTCTCCATCAATACAGTTTTCCCAAGCAGAAGGAGGGGAAGGGATCTGTACAAAGCTGAAAGGCCAACTGCATTGGCTTATTGTGTTCAGAAGCTGTTGGGGATGAAACCTGGGAGCTTTGAAACAAACACAGAAGAATAGCTATAGCACCCTGCTCCCCTCAAAGCCTTAGTGAGATGAGACTACAGCCAGGGTTCCCTCAAGTATTACATCCCACAATAGCTTTACACACACAAAGAGCCTCGTCTCCCAAGGCTCTGATGCCCCATCTTATGCTCCAATACATTCGTCTCCATTGCTAGGCCATTAGAATCCCAAACCACACACCCCCAAGTGGTACAAGCTTTATTCTGTTCCTATCTGAAAGGTAGAAACAATTATAAGTCTACATTATTTTACCAGAGAATAAAGGCTAGTCTATATGAAACATATGGAAGAAAAAGAATGGCTATAGGGAAGATAAAAATGAACACAATGCCTGCAGCCTTACTGAAAAAATATGTATCTATATATCTCTCAGGCAACAATGATTCTTTCACACACTTATAAAGAGAATTTCTCTTCTTTGCAAACACTGCAGTGTAAAACTAAAAACAAAATAAAAACAAACAAACAAACAAAAAATTCCTAGATTAACATAGAAGAGCTCAAAGGTTTTTGTTAAGAAGCAGACCAAACAATTCTTGGAGCAGCTGGAGCCATGTCATTGAGCCATGACACCTTTCATTCAGAAGTTGATAAACAAGTTCTGAGCAACTGGTGGAGGAAGAGAAAAGAGAACAGGAAAGTGTGAAATGACAACTCCAACTACCACCTTAAAAACAAGAAAAGCATGGGTTTGGTCTGAAAGAGGGATTAAAAACAGCATTTAGAGGCAAGGTGTGCAACTAAGGATCTTTTCCAAGTATGGCTCAACTTCCCTACCCCAGAAGCAACGTGACAAAAACATTCACATGGTCAAATGACTGCAGTTCTAGTACCATCCATAGCATAGACACTATCCCTG